CCCCCCACAGGGTTTCTCTGTATTGTTTTGGAGTCTGTCCTAGAACTAGCTCTGTAGACCAGGCTGGCCTTGAACTCACAGAGATTCAACTGCCTCTGCCTCCCAAGTGCTGGGATGAAAGGCGTGCTCCACCAACACCCGGCCACACCCAGGTTTTTTTGCCTGGCTTCTGGAGACAGAATTCAAGTCCTTGGGCTTATATGTCAATGCTCAAAGGAGCTCTCTCTCTCTTTCTCTCTTCCCCCTCCTCTACCTCCCTCCTCTCAGAACTCTCCCCCACTTTAATCACATTTTATTTATTTATTATACTTTTCATGTGTGCGGGATGGGGGTGGGGTATGTGTGCTCATGTGCCACAGGTGGACGTCAAGGGACAACTTTCAGGAATTAGTTCTCTCCTTATACCACGTGAGTCCCCAGTATCCAAGTCACATCAGCAGCAGGTGCCTTTACTGGCTGAGCCATCAGGTGTCCCCTCTTGTTAACAGTGGCACTTGGTCTGATACTTTCTATGTAGTCCAGGCTGGCCTTGAACTTGGGGCACTCCTTCTGTCTCGCCCTTTCATTTGTACACTTGTTCCATGTCTGCTCTGTCCTCTGCGCTTTCCTGACTGTGAGAACTGGGTGTGGCTCATTCACTCCCACATGGCAGTCACATGACAAGTGCTCTCTACACAAGAGAGGGACGCGTTTTTTTGAGGAGGTGACAGAGGTGGGGAGCCAGAGTTTTCTTCACTCTCCCCTGGAGGTGTCACAGACACAACAGCTGTTCCATGGCTTCTTCCTGACCAGAACCCACGTGGCTTCTAAGGAGTCACTCCTGAGTCTGCGCGCCCACCCGCCCGCCCGCCCGCGGGGCCACCGTGCTCAACCACGATGAACTCTAGGGCAGTCTTGCACTTTGTGTGTGCGCAGCACACAGCTCCCTCCCTAGACTTCCAACCCCTTTGCAGCCTTAGCTGGAGGCCCCAGGACGGGTGCCTTCCCTGGCTGTGTTACGTCCCTTCTTGCTGCAGCTCAGAGAGCAGATGTGGGCGGGGAGGCGGCAGGCACCTCCATCAACCACGCCCAGATGCTGCTCCAGCGACTGCAGGACTTGCTGCGACAGGGCAACGCCAGTGATGTCGTCCTTCGAGTACAGGCTGTGGGCACGGACGAGGTCCGAGCCTTCCACACCCACCGCTTGTTGCTGGGGATGCATAGTGAGCTTTTCCGTGAGCTGCTGAGCAACCAGAGCGAGGTGCTGCTGCAGGAACCCCGGGACTGCGCTGCTGTCTTTGACAAATTCATCAGGTATGTAGGGGAAGGGGCACGGTGGGGGCGGCACCCTGTCCACAGCCCCCCCCAGCTCCTCCACACCCACGGTCGCCGAAGCCAGGCTTTAGAGGCTATTATATCTACTTTCAAAAGTCATAGATAGCATGATTGACACGCAACACACACCTCCTTTGTCCCTTGTTTCCACTGCCCTCCCTGCCGTGGCCTGTGTAGTAACCACTTCCTGCCCTTGGGAGCCCCTCCTGAGCTACTTTCAAACCAGGCAAGAGAGGTTACAACAGATTCTTGAGTGGTCACTTTCTTGGGTGGTCAATTTCAAGTCTCGGGGTTGAGACCAGCCATTTCCTTCTTTAATATTTATTTATTTGTTATATATACAGTGTTCTACCTGCACAAATGCTTGGACGCCATAAGAGGGCACCAGATCCCATTAGAGTGGGTTGTGAGCCATGCTGTGGGTGCTGGGAATGGAACCCAGGACCTCTGGAAGAGCAGCCAGTGCTCTTAACCTCAGCCATGTCTCCAGCCTGAGGGCAGCCATGTCTTAAACCTGCATGTGGCTTTGGAAGCACAGGGCTAAGGAGTGGAAGGCTTAAGTCAGGTCGGTGGCACCTCTCTGCTTCTGCACAGGGAAAGACTTGTCAAATGGTCTAAGGAGGTGACCCTATTCTGATGGCTTAGACAAGGTGGCTGCGGGATTCCAGACATCACTTCCAAGTTCCAGGCAACAGGAAGAGGGATAAAAGGGAAGGGTTTCCCATAGAGCCCAGTGGGGTGCTGTGTGCTGCCAGGAAAAATGAGGCGTACGGGGGTGGGGTTGGGGGGCAGTACTGTAAGAGAGACAGAGACAGCAAAACAGCTAACAAGGAAAAGGAAACCAGATAACAAGAAAGGGCCAATCGCAAAGAGAAGGGTCCCCTGGGGTAGGGAGTAGCCTGGGTTGGCTGTGTGCTCTATAGCAGGATTTTTCACTGCCTTTCGCTGTGACAATGTTCTGGAGGGGGCTCTTCCCCTTTTCTAGCTAGATAAGCTTAAGATTCATCTAAGTTAAAGGACTTGCCTAGTCTAGTGGCAAGGAGGAGGTCAGATGGGCATCTAAATCCAGGCTGTGGACTCTGAGGTTATCAGCAGCCCTTTCTCATTTTAGTATGTAGTTAGATATCTAGGAGATGCTCAGTAGATACATACGGTTTTCACAGCACCAGAAGCTAAAGGAACAGGCTGGAGCAGGGGTGGGGGTTGGGGGGGGCGATGACTTAGGAAAGACAGGAAGCCTCAGGACCCATTCATCTTGTTTGTTCCTGATTACAAAAAGGGGCTATGTTCTGGGAAAACCAGCTAGAGGTGGTGTGGGTGACCTTATCCAGACCCAACACTGCTGATCTTCCTTTTTTTTTTTTTTTTATACTTTTATTACTATTACTACTACTACTACTACTACTACTACTACTACTATTATGTTTTTCCAGACATGGTTTCTTCTGTGTAACTCTGGCTGTCCTGGAACTCACTCTGTAGACCAGGCTGGCTTGGACTCAAGGGATCCACCTTTCTCTGCCCCCCAAGTGCTGGGATTAAAGTCGTATTATTAGTTTATATGTCTGTGTGAGTGTATCTAATGTGTAAATGGGTGCCCTCCGTCAGAAGAGGACTGGAGTTACAGATAAGTTTCAAGGCACCCAGTATGGGTGCAGGGGACCCAATTAACTACTGAGCCATCTCAATGGGTCCCCTCTCCAACTCTATTGCAGGTACTTGTACTGCGGTGAGCTGACCGTCCTGCTGGGCCAGGCTATCCCGCTGCACAGGCTGGCCACCAAGTACCGTGTGGCATCCCTGCAGCGAGGTGTGGCTGACTACATGCGTGCGCATCTAGCTGGAGGCGCGGGCCCAGCTGTGGGCTGGTACCACTATGCAGTGAGCACTGGGGATGAGGCTCTGCGTGAGAGCTGCCTGCAGTTCCTGGCTTGGAACCTTTCCGCCGTGGCGGGGAGCGCGGAGTGGGGCGCCGTGAGCCCCGAGCTGCTGGCGCAGCTCCTGCAGCGCTCGGACCTGGTGCTGCAGGATGAACTGGAGCTGTTCCACGCATTGGAGGCGTGGCTGGGTCGCGCGCGGCCGCCCCCCACAGTGGCCGAGCGAGCACTGCGTGCCATCCGCTACCCGATGATCCCTCCTGCACAGCTGTTCCAGCTGCAGGCGCGCTCGGCTGCGCTGGCGCGCCACGGCCCAGCGGTGGCAGATCTCCTGCTGCAAGCTTACCAGTTCCACGCCGCCTCGCCGCTGCACTACGCCAAGTTCTTCCACGTAAACGGCAGCGCCTTCCTGCCGCGCAACTATCTCGCGCCTGCCTGGGGCGCCCCGTGGGTCATCAACAACCCGGCTCGCGACGATCGCAGCACCAGCTTCCAGACGCAGCTGGGTCCAAGCGGCCACGACGCCGGTCGCCGGATCACGTGGAATGTGCTCTTCTCTCCGCGCTGGCTGCCCGTCAGCCTGCGGCCCGTCTACGCGGACACCGCAGGCACTGCGCTGCCCGCCGCGCGCCCCGAGGACGGAAGGCCAAGGCTAGTGGTCACGCCGGCCAGCAGCGGTGGCGACGCGGCGGGCGTGAGCTTCCAGAAGACAGTGCTGGTGGGTGCGCGCCACCAGGGCCGCCTCCTGGTCCGCCACGCCTACAGCTTCCATCAGAGCAGCGAGGAGGCTGGCGACTTCCTGGCCCACGCAGACCTGCAGAGGCGCAACTCGGAGTACCTGGTGGAGAATGCTCTGCATCTCCATCTCATTGTCAAACCCGTGTACCACACCCTCATCAGGACTCCCAGTTAGCCTGTGGACTGAGAAATAAAGGCCTGGCCTGGATGGAGCTCCAGGGTCTGAGGAGGGGTAGGCAAGCGTGGAAGCAACTGCCAGCCTGGGCCCTGGGTGTCCAGGTACGGCTGGCTGGTTGGGGCTGGGGTGGAAGGCAGGTGAATGTGGTAGACAAGATGGTTGTGGTTTCAGGAGTGCCTTTCCCTGCTCTTGGTCCAGAATAAACCGATGTTCAGAGAGGCAACTCCGGGTCTCAAAATCTCGGGTTCACAAGCCCTCCACCGAGCTTGCCCCTGAGAGTTCCCACCCAGACATGAACTAGGGCAGGGAAGACGACCTAATGGTCAGTGATTGACAGCCAGCCTGGGCAATCTCCCTCTTGGACAGGAATGTTCACATATGAGGCAAAGGCGTTCCCTGAGCTGCCACCCCAGTGGACAAGCACCCCTATAGCGTGTGAAGCTTTCTGCCACGGCCTACAAGTCCCTGGGTTCTTGCTGAGGGGTCCAGGTTAGCAGAAAGGCTCTTGAGAGACTGCCACAAACTAGACCTCGATCTAGCCCTGTCGTTTTGGGGAGGGAGAGTCTTGGCATCTTGAGAAAAAACAAAACAAAACAAAACAAAAACAAAACACTCATTCCCCAGATATTTGTAGGTTTGTGCCAAGGGAAATGGGATTCTGGGGTTCATGAAAGGACCAGGAACTGGATGAATCTTAGGACCAGACATGGCACATTCTGAAAACTCTAAACACAACCATCAAAACCCCAGTAGGACTTTATTTAAAAGAAAAAAAAAAAAAAGGCAACAGAAAAGTTACAAAACCAGACTCCCTCCCCATCCCTTCCTACCCTATGTGAAGTCCAGTGGGCTCCTTTCCCATCCCCCACCCACCCCCCCTTGCCCAGGGGGAGGGCCTGGGAGTCCTCTCTCTCTATCAGCTCCTCTTCTCCATTGCTGAAGCCAAGACTGGCCCCAGGTCTGTGCAAATTTTTGGCAACAATGTTCTGCTCGGGGCTGGGAGGCCAAGCTGCTGCGGCTTGCCGCGTGGAGAGCATGGTAGAGTTATGGAGCCATGGGAGCCCAGCTCTCGAAGCTCTTGCTCCATTCGATACCTGTCTGCCTAGCTTCTACCTCCCAGTCCCTGCTACACCCTGTTGAGTCCTGGGGGCAGAAGAGTAGGCACCAGGGCCCCTCAATTATGCCGGAGGCGTCCATCTTTGCCAAGAGTGCTTGAACCATGGGGCAGGCTGGGCCCACGCGTAGCTCTACGGGAAACGCCAGCTGGGTTGGGGGGAGCAAGAAGGGGTGAGGGGTGTCCAGAGCCTAGGACCGGGGAAAAGCCAGCATCAGGCACTGAGGAATGCCTCCCTTCCCCCTCAACACCCAGTGGCCTTGAACTTCTTAGGGGAACGATCCCAGTATGACAACCCCACCGATGCTGCTTCCCGAATCACGCTTCCAACTAGGGGCAAGAGCCTTGTATGTTTGTTTTCCTCTATGCGCTTGTCAAGGCCTCTCCCACCCTGATCCGTCCTTTGTTGGTACTGACCTGTGTTCTGGCTTGGAGGAAATTTGATCTTGGCCAGAGGCAGTGTAACCTTTGCCAAATGTCTGACACCAGGGGATGGGCGCCCACACACTGGCATCCTCCGGTCTGAAATGCCCTCCGAGGGTTGAGGCCCCGGCAGGTGTATTTTGGGACGAGTCATCTGTACAGTTGGAAAACCGTGAAATGGAGTGGGGAGATGCTCGGCGCTCAACAACAGAACCCAGTCCTAGCTACTTTATCAGGCTGGGGACTGTTGCGGTTCAGATCAGGGCCTCTGGGTGTAGCGAAGGGCTGATGAAGTGTCCCATAGCTCCTCGGGGTGGTGTGGGGGAGCTAGCTCTCAGGCCCTCACCCATTAGGAACGGGAGCACACATCTCACACCCTGCGTCTTGCCTCACCCCTTGTCCTGTGACCTCGAAGGACCGAGACCTCCTCTTCCTTCTTTTGGCCTCCAGTGATTCCTCCCTTTTCTTGCTAAGGCTTTTCTTCTGAGCGCGCACCCAGGGCCCAGCGCCATCACCTCGAGGTCCTGCCGCCCGAGAGGGGCCCTCGCCGGTGCTGCTGGATAAATTGTCCTCGCTAATAGCATGCTGCAGTGTGGGGCTGGGCGGCCGCTTGCAGGCCAGTGGACCAGATGGAGGAACATCTTCAGCCTCGCTCAACGAGTGCAGAGACAGGCTGCTGCGTTCTGTGGCGGGTGCCAGCAGGTGGCGCCCCTCCGATCCCAGGGCCCGGGAGCGCCGCTGGGCGGCCTTCAGGGTGATACACTTGGTTCGAGTCAAGATCTCTTTCTTCTCTACAACAGATACCCAAATCAAGGTCAAGGCCATCTCCTACACCCCTTCTTCACAGGTCAAAAGTGAGCAAGAGCCAGGACTCGCAGATTTCACCCCCAGAGCCCTAACTCGCTAGCTCTTTGAGAAACTTGGGGTGCCCCCTCAGAACCTTAATTTCATTTGTAGATGGGAATTACAAAGACAAACACTCTGAGGCGACTTCAAATATTGAGAGTCTAGACTGGTGTGGCAGGCTTATAATCTGAGCTCCTCAGGAGGCTGAGGCAGGAAGATCTAAAGTCCAAAGCTGGATGGACATGGTGGCGCACACCTTTAATCCCAGCACTTGGAAGGCAGAAGCAGGCAGATATCTGAATTTGAGGGCCAGCCTGGTGTACATAGTGAGTTCCAGGACAGCCTGAACTACATAGTAAGATTGTCTTAAAAAAAAAAAAAAAAAAAAAAAAAAAAAAAAAAAAGGCCTCCCAACTAGGCCTGATCTCAAAATTAAAAGTGAAAAAGAGACAGGGGATATAGTTTAGCAGTAGAATGCCTGTCATGTGTGAGACCCTAAATTCAATCCCTATTACCACTCTCCCCAAAATCCCATATGCTTAGGGAGCAGAGATTGAGTTAGAATTTGCTAGAGTCCAGTGGGAAGGGGATGACAAGTGTCCTTATTTTATTTTATTTTATTTTTTTGTTTTGTTTTTTGAGACAGGGTTTCTCTGTGTAGCTTTGGAACCTGTCCTGAAACTCAATCTGCAGACCAGACTGGCCTTGAACTCACAGAGACCCACTTTACTCTACCTCCTGAGTATGGGGATTAAAGGCGTGTGCCACCCTATCTCCCAGCCAAGTCTCCCTATTTTATTTCTGATTGTTCCCCATCATCTGTGTGTCCTTCTGGTACAGCCAATGAGTGGGTACCATCATTGAGGGCAGAGAGAAGGAAGGAGCTTCAGGCTTGGTCACCTGAGCAGTTTAGAAAACGTCAGGCAGTGGAGGCCAGGCGTGTGACGTGCAGGACACACCCACCTTTACGGGACAGGGCCGTCTCTGACAGGTTCTCACTGCTGTCCGGAGAAGAGTTGATCTGGCTGCCCAGGCTGTCCTGTTGTGGGGCCTAAGGGGTGAACCGTTTGGAAAGGGGAAGGCCTTGAGGACAGCAGGGACCCCATACTGCACTCTGCAGAGGCTGCATGGCCTCGGAGGTGCTAGCCATTTTAAAAGAAATCCACCCACTGCTGGGCACTCAGATCTCACCTGCTGGGTCACCAGGGTGCCCACCTGGATGGGAGGTGGAGTGGGCACAGAGGAATTCTTCGCCTGCCAGGCCCTGGGGCTTGCCTTGAACACATGGTAGGACTCACTGCAGTTGGCAGAGGGACAGGAGGGGGCAGCTGTCCATCAGGCTAGTCACACTAGGGTCCACCCCCACCCTAGAGGAGAGACTGCCGGTGCCAAGGGAAGAGAACCCACGGATCCTGGCTGCAGACCCATGCCACCGCCTCCCTGTGCTTCAAGGGTCCCTCTTTCCCTACTGAGCTGACATTCCTCACACAGGGTAGGCAGCATCAGGAAGTCTCACCTGTCTGCGCCAAGTGGGGGTAGGGTGTTGTCTTGGGGGTGCTGGGCCTCAGAACTCAATGTCTTCACACTCTCCAGGTCAGAGTCCGGGGTCAGTGTGGTCCCAGCTGGAGTGATTCTGGGCAAGGAGCTGTCCTGTGTGTGTGTGTGTGTGTGTGTGTGTGTGTGTGTGTGTGTGTGTGTGTTGGGGAAGAGAGGGGGATAATGACAAGGGTGGACAGTCAGTATTTACTGTTTGAGACAGACTCTTGCTGTATAGACAAAGCAAATCTTTCAACTCTCCTGCCTCAGTTTCCCAGCTGTTGGGATTAAAAACTATCCTATTGATTAGTGGCGATTTGTAATATCTCAGATGACCAGTCCTGACCTTGTGACCCTAGGTGGGGACAAGTATCAGGCATAATGTCTGGGAATGGGGACCTTTACCCAGGCTTGGCAAGGCAGAGAGGGTGGGTAAGAGGAAAAAAAAAAAAAAAAAAAAAAAAAAAGCAAAGCCATCTCATGGAACTTGGCTGGCTCCATGGGATCCCAATGTCAGCAAATAAGCTAGCCCAATCGCCTACCTGCAGGGCCCTGGAGGCCACGCGGTCCATGATGGTGGCCCGCTCCAGGCTGCCCTCTTCCAGTTCCCGAAGGTAGACTTCATAGAGTTCCTCCAGGTGCCTGGGAACCTCCAGATTGAAGTCTGTACATGGGGGAAGGACAGCTGAGGTCTCGGCATGGGCCGGCAGGCCCACCCCACCCCCCCAGACAATACCCCAGGCCTTCGGGGGTGGGGAGGCCCGGCCCTACCGTCGATGATCTGCCGCTGGCCCTGAATGATCTCCTCGCAGAGGCTGCGGTGCTGCTCCAAGCGGCGCACCGCCTCTCGGCGGTGGCGCAGTGCACTGTCGCGGAGCAGAGCATGCGACTGCATCTCGGTGTTTTCCACCTCCAACTCGTGCACTCGGCACAGCAGGCTGAGCACCTCGCGTTGCTCCTCCGAGCCGATGCGCCGCGGCAGCGTCTCTTCCAGGCGCTGACCCCGTGCTCGCAGCTCCCGGCAGCGCTGCTCCAACGCCAGCTGCGGGGACGATGGGGCGGCACGGCTCAGCACTAGGCCAATCCCATTGGCACAGCCAGGCTCTGCTCTCAGGCCTCCTGGCTGGCTCTCCAAGCCCAAACTAGCCTTCAAAGCTTGTCTTTGGGTCTTGCAACTATTCGGCGCCTGTGTGCCCACTTGACTCAACCATGCCCTTATTCCAACACGGAAGATAAAAATCTGTTATTATATTGACTGCCGTGTTCTTAGTCCTTGCTTTATGCCAAGCATTAACAGCAACTCCGTTCGGGCGTCACCACAGGTGCTTCCATTTTAGAAAGGAGAAGTATGACACACACAGAGATGTAGAATCTTGGCAAGGTCACCCAGGATTTGTGGCTTATGTTCTCTGGTCTCCCTCTTCCTCACCCCTCTGCCTCCTCTTCCTTACACTCCCTGCGCTCAAACTCCCGTATACCTTCTGCTTGCGCAGCTTCTTCTGTTCGCCCACTAGGGCGGCGATGTTTTCCCGGGCTGAGGCCACCTCTGGTGGCTCCAGGTTATCTGGCTCATCTCCTGTGTCTGAGTCCTTCTCACTGTCGTCTTTGGTGTAGGACTCCTTTCTTCGCTCCTCCCTCCATTTGAGAGCCCGCCGTGACTTCTCGTGTTCCCAGCTGCCAGCAGCGCCCCCCAAGAGAGACACAAGTTTCGGCTCATGGGGCAGGGCACTGTGTTTCTATGTTCTAGGCTCCTCCACAACAAACCTGAACCTGGGGTGGGCCTGAGGGTCCGAGGAGAGGAAAAGCATACCCCGCGATGGTGAGTAGGTGACGGGAGGTATCGATCTGAACTTCCATGGCCTGGTTCTCCAGCTCCAGCAGGCGCCGACGTACATCCATCTGCTCGTGGAAGGCACCGATGAGCTGCTCCCGAAGCTGTCCCATCTCTGCCTGCCCTTCCTGCCCGCTGTGTAACTGTACCTCAGCTGAGGAGTGGCAGTGGTGTCAGCACAGGGCCCAGTTCAGGCTGATCTGGGGCTTTGTCCCCCAGTTTCTTCCCAGACCACCGCTTGCATTTCCAACTCCTCTCCTCCCACATACCCCATTCCCACAGTGTATCTTCAGACTACAGCCCACACGAATTGAGATTGTGCTAGCCCTCACAGCACCCTTGTGCCAACTACAAAAAGGTATCCATGTTTCTCTGCTATCTGTTGGAAAACCATTACAGCAAACAGGCAAATCTCAGTGAGCGGTAGGTACACCTTCTAGGGCCACACAGGGCAGCCCTCCATATAATGTCCTCAGAGCATCCCATCCCATCTCAGCTCCAGCTCTGCAAAGCAGAGATGCCATCCCATTTCCCAGGGGAAGGTGCTAAGATGTGGAGTAACTAGTCCGATGCCACTTAGCCAGAGTTAATGCTACTGGTCCTAGGACCTCATAAGGCCACCTGGAGAGGGTTGCTAAGAGCAGCTCCCACCTCGAGACCCACGGGACCGTATGCATACCTTGGATATGTCGGATGTCACCCCGATCCAGTCGGCCCCGGGCCTGGCCCCGCCCAGCCTGCTGATCGATCTTGCACTTGAGTCTCTGGATCTCACTCCTCAGGTCAGCAATGATGCTGGTGTACTGGGCGATGTGGTAGGAGACATTGAGCAGGTTCTGCTTCACCTGCAGGGGGCCCAGGATCAGTGGTGAGGGGGTACAGTCACCCCAGGAGCCAGGCCTGCCTGTGGTACCCTCTCTTCCTCTTTCTTCCCCTTTGCCAGTCCTTTCCAGTGGCAGCCATGGCCTCCTTGCCCCCCTCCCCACGGCCTCCTATGGCATCTGCATGCCTCTTAAGACCTGTAATCCTACAGTTCCATGCTCGCTCTTCATCCTCAGTGGCTCCCTACTGCCTGAGGAGCCCATTCCTTCACCGGGAATTGACGACTTGATCCCCCCCCCCATTTTATCTTTTACTTTATGTGTTTGCATGTGTGTCTGTGTGGGAGTGTGTGCGTGTGAGTGTAGATGCCTGAAGAAGGTGTAAGATTCTGGAGCTGGAGTCATAGGCAATTGTTAAACGCCTGATGTGGGTGCCGGGATCTGAACTCAGGCCCTCTGGAAGAGTTCTGAACCATTAAAACCATCTCTCTCTCTCTCTCTCTCTCTCTCTCTCTCTCTCTCTCTCTCTCTCCAGGGTTTCTCTGTAGCTTTGGAGCCTGTCGTGGAACTCACTCTGTAGCCCAGGCTGACCTCAGACACACAGAGATCCGCCTGCCTCCTGAGTGCTGGGACTAAAGGCAAAACCCCACCCCGCTCCCACCCCCCCATCCCAACCCCCCTCCCTGGCTGGACTCTTTCTTCATCTGAGTGTTCTGTTCTAGCCAGGCAATTCTACTGGTCTTTCCATACCCACAGCAGATAGCTCATCCCTACTTTCCTTTCCCTGGCTTGCCTTGGCACCTACTGTTAGCATCAATTAAACAATTACCCCAATTACCTGCTTTTTTCTTTTTTTCTTTTTTAAAGATCAGCCTCATGTAGCCCAAGTTAGCCTTGAACTCATTGTGTAACCAGGGTTGGACTTTGAACTCTTGAGTCTCCTGTGTCTGCCTCCTACTCCTGGGCTGCAGTGTTAACTACCATGCCAGGGTAAGCTGCTCTGGCTAACTAGTTACCATCATGTGGCCTGTCACTGTGAAGTCCCCGAGGCTGTGTGACAAGGTTGGGGGGAGCTGTAGGGCTTCACTCCACACTGCTTTCCCCGACACCCACACAGGCTAAGACAGCTTCCTGACCAGAGAACATGAGTCTGACTTGGGAACCAGGCAGCCTCAGCTCTGGTCTCTGCCTCGTCCTCAATTAACTGTGAAGTCACTCTATGTCCTTAAGCTTCATTACCCTGAACTGTGTGGCAGAGGAGTGCTAACCCCTGCATGGTTCTGAGTGTGCTACTGTGCTCAGAGGGGCACTAGGTAAGGGAGCCTTTTATTGGGACTTTGGTGATGACATCTGCATGCTTTGGGCATGCAGAGGACTGAGTAACCTCTGAAGAGGAAATGATGGTAGAGGGGCAAGCCCAGAGTGAGAGGCAGAAGAAGGTGTTTGGGAGTCAAGGGCCGCAGGCAGGCAGGCAGGCAGGGAGGCAGGCAGGCAGGCAGGGAGGCAGGCAGGCAGGGAGGCAGGCAGGCAGGCAGGGAGGCAGCAGGCAGGGAGGCAGCAGGCAGGCAGGCAGGCAGGGAGGCAGGCAGGCAGGGAGGCAGCAGGCAGGGAGGCAGCAGGCAGGGAGGCAGGCAGGCAGGCAGGCAGGCAGGCAGGGAGGCAGGCAGGCAGGGAGGCAGCAGGCAGGGAGGCAGGCAGGCAGGGAGGCAGCAGGCAGGGAGGCAGGCAGGCAGGGAGGCAGGCAGGGAGGCAGGCAGGCAGGGAGTCAAGGGCTGCAGGCAGGCAGGCAGGCAGGCAGGGAGGCAGGGAGGCAGCAGGCAGGCAGGCAGGCAGGGAGGCAGGCAGGCAGGGAGGCAGCAGGCAGGGAGGCAGCAGGCAGGGAGGCAGGCAGGGAGGCAGCAGGCAGGGAGGCAGGCAGGCAGGGAGGCAGATGAAGGGCTTGGGGTAACATTGGCCTGGGTAACAAGATCAGGGCAGAAAGAGTGGAGTGGCTGGCAAGGATCCTCGAAGGATCTCACATCTCAGTCCAGGAGGGTGTGCTTTGAGGGTAGTCCAAGGGCCCTCACCCGAGTCCTAATATTCTTGGCTCGGCCGGCATAGGTCAGGGTATTCCGGGACTCCTCAAAGGCCGTGCTTGCCGGACTGATGTGGGCAATCATCACCGTGCGGCTATTTCCCCCTAGAGAATCCTGGGGAAAAGGGATGTTGGCTAGCTGGAGACCACCTCCCCCAGGGGCTCCCCAAGGCTTTTTACCACACCTTCTCTGGGTGTACACACACACACGCGCGCACACACACACACACACACACGGGCATGCATGCACGCCTGCACAACAAGAACACATGCATATAGTGGCGGTCACTTTCAAGTATCCCCACTCCCTGGCTTGGGGATGCAATCCTCCTGGCCGGCCGATGCAGTCCTTCATGAACCACAGGCCTCTGCTGGGATCTTGTTTCCAGCACTTAACCAAGTTTAAGCCTACAGGGAAATTCCTTAACCTGTCTGTGCCTCTCAGTTTCTTTGTCTATAAATGTATTCCTCTTAACTTACAAAGCCACTGGGGAAGCTTCTGGCCTGGAACCCAGCAAAGCATGGGAACTGTGATATCATTGTCTATAACTGAAGGGCCAAGAGTGGCCATGCTGTGAGGAAGCGGCCCCAATGAGCAGCCCCATTGGCTACAAGGCTGACCGTCACAAAGGCCCCAAGGCTCTCTTTGGCTCAGCCCTGGGAGGAAGGTCCTGGCACTGCTCCTGTTGCCAGAAATATAGAGAGCACCTGCTTGCCATCAAGTTTCAGATAAACTGTCAACGGCCCGCCTTAGCTTAAGGGTGTCTCAAAGATTTCATGAGGCACACTGATACATAACTAACTTTGGTGACTCATCTGAAATCCAAGTGGGGATAGCTGTGCATTGTTTATGTGTGGTCTGGCAGGCCTACCCTTGATGCCAATGCCCAGGCCCGACTTGTTTTTGTACCTTCAGGAGCCGGGTGAGCTTGCTGTCCCGATAGTTGATGTACTTATTGCCACCCTTGTCGCTCAGTGCGTTGATGCAGTTGCCCAGGGCCAGGAGAGAGCGGTTGATGTGGGCCCCCTCCTTCATGCGCTGCCCCCGGTTCTGTGTCTGGGGCGACAGGACGGGATATAAGTATAGTAGTCTTGTAGGAGAACACACTGAAGCTTCGTTCAGCTGCCCAACATCACCCAGATGACCCTGGCTATAGACCATGGCTTCTCTCCCCGAGGTCCTTGAATGGAGAGGTGACATGGTATGGAAGGAAGCTTTGCTCTGCCTTCTCCCCATCCTTGCTTCCCCGAGCAGCCGGCCCCTTCAAGATGTCAGGCCCATTGCTTAGCTTGTCCTCGAGACACCCTGCTGTCCTAACTGCCTCATCTGGCTAGCCTCTCCCCATATCCTTCCTCCTCTGAAACCTGACCTCACCCGGAGGGCCATCACCCTTGCCCACCCCCCATTGCTTCTCTCTGGGGAGCCCTCACTCCCCTGGACTCTTGGAGCAGGCCTCACCTGGGAGGCGCGCTCGGAACCCGCCAGGTCAATCATGAAGAGGCGGCCTTGCCGCACCTCCTGTAGGATGCTCTTGACCCGGCTTCGCTGGCGGACTGCCACCTGGAGCACTGCGTGAGAGCGGGAGGACGTCTGATTGGCAGCTGTGGGCTCCTGTGTCCTCTGCCGGTTCCCCTTCATCAGCAGCTGCATAATCTGGGAAGGAAAGATGGAGGTGACCGCTGGGGAGCCTGTAGAGGGGACCCTGAGCTTGGTGGGAGAGGTCTGATCTATGAGCTCCCCAGGGCAGGCTAAGGGCCTGAACGATTCTCTCTGGACAGGTCTCTGTAAATGGAGAAGCTGTGTGGCCTGTCTACTTACTAGGGTGAGTGTGTTAGGGCATGATGGGGGTGTGACTTCTCTTGCCATGGCTCAGGGTACTCTGTCCCAGTAGCTCCCTGCCTTTGGTCCCTCGGAGTGATTGGCCTGCCCACAGTCCCTCGCCAGTTGCTGGAGACTTGCCTCCTTGGCATTGATGGTGGACACTTCCGTGATTCCAGCCACCTGGATCACCCCTTTGGAGTCCTCCCTCAGCTCCAGGTACCCCAGGGCGGGGTTCAGCAGGTCCCGGATCATCTCATTGTAGATCTGATGGGACAGCGGGAAAGGGGGAGGGAGATGGACAAGAGCTGCCCCTTCCTCTCTAAGGAAGGAAGGGCCGTGTGCTTCTGTTTGCCGGACCCCAGGCCCTTTGTGTGAGAGAAGTCCTAGGTAGGGGAAGCTAGAGGCTTCAAAGCCAATGTTGCAGGAGGTATCAGAACTACCTGGGGCTCCCTTTGCAGAGAGGCCAGTCCTGGGCTGGACACCTGGACCTGATTCCTGGCCAGATGATGGAGCTCAGCTTGTTGCTAGGCAACCTTCAGGCTACTTCTCTTAGGTGTCACTGCCCCTGCCCCCAATCAAAGCAGGCCCAGCTGGCTGAGTCAACACCTGCCAGCTGCTTCCCTCACTACTCCAAACCATCACCCTAGAGATTATCAGCTCCCAGAGGAGCCAGATGGAGACTGGCTTGCTGGCTTAGATTACCGCCCTCCCTGCAACTTCAGTGGCCACCTCTCGACCCACGAAGTCCTTAATGGGTAGACGTTTGCTTAAGGCAGCGGTTCTCAACCTTCCTGATGCTGTGACCCTTTAATACAGTTCCCGTGTTGTGGTGACCCCCTTCCCCAACCATAAAATTGTTTTTATAGCAACTTCATAGCTATAATTTTGCTACTGTTACTAATCATAATGTAAATATCTGATACGCAGGACATCTGGTATGTGTCCCTTGTGAAAGGGGTGATTGATCTCCAAAGGGGTCATGACCCATAGGTTGAGAACCACTGGTTTAAGGAACGGGCTCAAAGGATTAGGGTAAGGTGAGGTTTTGAGGATGCTGGCTCAGCCACCGGCTGCCCAGGCTTCCGTGGAGTGCAATACCACGGTATTAGACCCACAGGGTCCAAGTCGGAACCCTGCTCTGCCGTCACTGTCTCTGTGTACCTCAAGGACAGCTGCCTAACTTCTCCATGTCTCTGTATAGCTCTGTCTGTCCTGGAACTCAGAGATTGGCCTGCCTCTGCCCTCCAAGTGCTGGAATTAAGGGTATTGAGTCTCAATTTTTATCAAGTGGGGCTAACCCTGTCCACGTGGGTTGGGGAGTGGGCATTCTGAGCACCTCAGGAAGTACCAGTGACTGGCTCTAGGGAGGGGGACCACCCAATCTTATATGTCTCCTATCCAAGCCTGGTGGGGACTTACCTCCAGGTAGGACATGGACACCTCATATTCCATGTCATTGCTGGTCTCCTCGATGGCTCGGAACAGGTCATTCAGGGTCCGGGCATAGATGCCTGGCTCATGGTCAGTGCCCAGCATGGTGTAGGTCTTCCCACAACCTGGACCGGACAGGTTGGTGGCCAGCAGGACAGGGGCCAGGTAGGGGTGGAGCCTTACTGGGGAGGTGCTCTGGACCCCTGAGCTGTCGTCGGTCAGTGAGGGTGCACCCCCCCCCCGTGGCTGAAGAACGGGATTTGGGGGGGGAAGGGTCCTGGGTGAGGCAAGGTTTGGACAATCCCGTGCTCCATTCCTGACCCCACTCAGGCCAGGATGGTTCTCTGGTGAAGGGTGAGGGGTTCTCAGGGAAGACAACTAGGGCCCTGCCGTCCTGTCTGTGCCCCCTTCCCTCCTCACCTGTGGGGCCATAGGCAAACACAGTGGCATTGTACCCTGAGATGATGCCCTCAATGAGGCTCTTGGTGGTGGCCTGGTACACCATTTCCTGCAGGGGAGAAGACATCTGAGACAGGGTAAGATGTGGGTGCCCCCCCCAGGCAAGTCCTGACTGTGAACAGGTGTAGTCCCTGTCCCTGGAGCCCCAAGCCAAAGGTAACTGAGTGGAGGGAGGGAGTCTCTGCTTCCATATCCCTCAGGGGTGACAACAGCTTGCAAGAGGGTTCGGGACACCCAAGAAGCCTCCTTTAAGGGTGGCTCCCACACCCCTCCCCTGCTCTGAGGATGCAGAGCCAGCCCCTGGGAGGATCTCAGCATCTGGAAGGTGGGCACGGTGGGATCCCCAGGAGAGTGTCAGCTTTCTTGAGTCTGCCCTACACCTGCTCTCCTTGTGCCAGATGGGCTTTCACGGTCCTTCCCCCCCCCCCCGCCCATACAGGCCAGCTGTGGGGCGTCTCATGTGGCTACTCTATGCAAGCCGGTACGTGAGTGCTAACCAAGTGTGTTTCTGTGGAAAACCAGGTGTGCCGGCCTGTGGGTATACAGGCAACGTGCCACGCAGCCACGCAGTGTCAAGCCTGCAAACGTATAGGTGAGAGGCTACACAAGTACATGTAGACTCCACATATGGGCACAGTCCCAGAAAGTGGATCCTTGAGTAAACGTTGGAGAAAAGGTGAGCAGGATCCCCCTAGGAATCCTCCATTGGAGGGTAAGTGTGGAGGGGTCTTTCCTGTTTCCAGGCCATGTTCCCCCTCACCTGAGTGGCAGTAAAGTCAAAGGCCACGTCAAACAGGTATGACTTCTCCCGGGACCGGTGTGCCCGCAGGATGTCATCAGGGTCTTCCATTGGGTCCATGAGAACCACCATCTGCAAACGTCCCCGAGTGGGGAGGGAGACCATAGTCATCTGGAGTTCCCACAGCCTGCACCTCTCCCTGAGCTATCTGCTCTCTGGGCTTCAGGTCTGGATGCTTGGGAGAAAAAGCCTCTTTGGTGATGAGTGACTGTCCCCTGAAGATGGCACCATCCCAAGACAGCAGAGAGTGCTGTGTGTGTGTGTGTGTGTGTGTGAGTGAGGGGTGGCGTCTACAGTGGTCCGGGCTTCAAGGCCTCTTCTGCTGACCACAGTACCACTGGTTGTCATAACACATCTTGGTGAGAAGACCCGTTCTGCCCACTACACCCCCATCTCTACCACGGCCTCGTATATCATTTCACTAGCAGCAAATCTCAGGCTCCCGCCTGCCAAGAGGGGTGTTTAGAGTCCTGAGATACTTTTGGGCTACGCACTAGTCTGTGGAGGACAGAACTCTGAACCCAGAACCTGGCTTCCAAACCAGAAGACCCCCCCCCGCCCCCCAAGACAGGATTTCTTTGTATAGCCCTGGCTGTCCTAGAACTTGCTCTCTATATAGACCAGGCTGGCCTTGAACTCAGAGGGAGATACACCTGCCTCTGCCTCCTGAGTGCTGGGATTAATGCATGCGCTGCCACCACCACGCAAAACCAGCAGACTTAACCGCATCTCTACAGCTCCATGACCCTTGGGCCCTGCCTGGCCCTCCGCGACCAGCCTCCAGACCACTGTACAGCAAGGCAGGCAGAGAGCGACTGACAGCTGGGGTACGCGTGTGAAAAGAGCAGGTGGGCTTGGGTACCTCCTACATGAACTTAAAATAACCACATCCCTGGCCAAGATCTGGGGTTAGAAAGAGAGACTGCAGGACCCTGAGCTGGCATCCCACCCCCGTGCGGTTGGGATAGCTGTACTCCATGTGTGTGTGGATACACATGCATTAAGGTGCAGACAGGGCTGGCTGGGTTCCTCCCTTGTTCTAAGAACAATCTTTGAGCCCACTCCACTCTGCCCAGGTCCCAGTGTGCTGGGCTTTGCTGAGGGTTCAAGCAGTAATACAGGGCAAGCTGCTGGGTTCTTGCTGGGCTCCTGCTCTTGAGTAGGGGTTGAGACAGGAAACATCAGGAAACATCAGGAGTTTTAGGGGAGGACAAAGAGAGTGGGCCTAGAAGGGGCCACGAGGGATGCTCTCTGGATCTTAGCCCTGCCTCATTAACAGAGTGGCCTCATGCCTGCATGGGGACCCGCCTGAGCCTCAGTCCCCTCCCCAGAGGAGGAAATGGTGGTGTAATCTCCTTCAGGGCTGGGCAGAGCCCATGAGACAAAGTGTGTGACACACACTGAGTCTCCGTGATCCCCTTCCAAGGAGCCAGGGAGAGGGAGAGTATGCATGGAGGCAGGTGAGGGCAAGTCACTGACTGCCCTAACCCAAGACTCTGCTATCAAATGTAGGGTGGTAAAAAAGAAACAAAGAAGCCAGGCCAGGAGTGGCAACATCAGGGGCTCCCTTACACAATACAGGCACCCCGGGTCCCTTACACAATACAGGCACCCCGAGAGGTGCTTGGCACCTGGCGTGCCGGGCATGGCTCCCTAGACACCAGCCTCTGCCAGACAGCCAGGGGAAATAAATCGTCCCATGATCCTTACTTAATGAGGTGAGTGTTCCCAGGGGGCCAGATGGTGGCAGCCTTAGAGCCCATCCTCCACTGGGGAGGGGAGGGGCAAGGAGGGCAGAGGGGGCACTGCCACTGCCAGTGCACGCTGCCATCCACCCCGGGTGCACACTAACATTCAATCTTGGGGCATGCCAAAAGCCTTTATTCTGTTTTTGTTTTGTTTTGTTTTTCCCTTCAAGCTTTGTTTTTCCCTTCAAGCTTTGGCCTTGGGGCAATCCTTTTGCCTCAGCCTCTTGAGTGCTGGGATGACGGGCATCCACCACCACACCCAGCCAATACCAGATCTTTACTGAGTGAGCCCTTCAATATGGACTTCTCATTATTACTCTCGGACAAGGAGGTCAAAGCCCCACACCCTATTGCTTGGAAATGGCAGAGCCAGAGTCGGGGATTCTGGCCACTTGGCTCTCTGGCTGGTACCTGTGCATCCTCCGAGGCTTCCCCAGCCTCTCCTGATCCCTCTGCTGTCACAGAGGCTTGTGGGGTGCCTTAGCAGTGTTCATGATCCAAGTAGCCCTGCAGCCCCTCAACCCCCACCCACCACTGCTCACTCCACCTTAGGGAATATGATGCAGTATAAGTAGGTAAACTGAGGCCTCACAGAGGGCCAAGCAGGAAGGCTGCTGGCTGTTACAGGGCAATTAAGAGAAGGCGGAGTCAGTAGCCATGCCTCCCCACCCCCACCCCTGGATCAACAGGAGAGGCGGGCCTCATGACTATTCCAAAGGCCTTGTGAATAGGTCAGGCATGGAGAGCCATCCAGAAGCAGCAGCAGAGGTTGGTGATGAGGGTGAAGGCGAGGCTGCAGGAGAGCAGTCTACATGCTCAACTGAACCCAGGAGCTGAGGAGGTCCTCAGTGGATCCCTTTGAGTCCCCAGTCAGGCCTGAGGATTTAGGAGGGCAAGGGCCTTAGGATTCCTAGCAGACCCCTCCCCAGTTCCATGTCCTGGGATCACACACACACACACACACACACACACACACACACACACACACGACACCTGGAGCAGCCTGCGCCTGGGCTCTCCGAATTCACCTGACCTCAGACAGCTACAGGGCCCCTTCTGTGCTTCTCCAGGGGAGGGTGACTCTCCAGGAGACTGTCAATCATATGGGGCTCCCGGTGAGCAGGCTAGAGGCAAGGATCGAGGACAGGCTAGGTGGTGGCTTTGTGCAGGGAAAGGCCACCGAGGCTGTCCCCTCCCAAGGTGGCCAAAGTCTAGCAGCCACTGCCATCTCAGTACTTGCACTGTTGCCTAGAGACCCGTTTGTCCTCGGGACACCAGCCCCACAGCCCTCCGAGCGTCTCGGTTCGATCCCTATCCCAGGCTATCGGCCGCCTGAGCCCTGCTCAGATTCCAGACCCAGATGAAGACAAACTCTGGCTCTGAGGGCCCTGGATGGGTCCTTAAGGCCTGCAACAGGAGCAGGGCCAGATATAACAACTCTCACCTTGGGTACTGGGGTTCCTGTGGACCCAGAGTCTCAAGGGGCTTTGGTTAGGGGGAGTGAACAGCATGTAATGTCAGGCACCATTACAGACGGCCTTTGTCATGACTTTCAGACATTGCCAAGCTCACCTGCACACCCAGTTTCTTTGATGCTGGAATGTTCCTGCATCAAAGCACTGTCATCCACCTGCCACCACCCCACTTAATGAGGGCTTTGTTTGGGCTCCATCTGTGGGGACCCCAGCCCCCACTGCACGTCCCAGAACACCACTGTTGTTCCCGGCCACCACAGCATACAACGGGGCCCTTTGTGCCCCTTGACCAGGTGAACCAGAGCTGAGCCAGTAAGGACTGAGCAGGGAGCCTGGGCTGCCATGGAAACTGGCTTGGGATGTTCAGGCTAGTGCAGTGCAACTCATTTGCGAAGCACCTACAGTGTGTCCCAAACATGGGAAAGACCTTAGAGAAATTAAAAGATGAGGCCTCTGACGCGCTCAGATTCGCAACTGGGAGGAAGCTGGTGTATAGAGGAGAGACCCCCAAATCCAGCCCTGCCAGGACAGGAAGGCGGCCTGGAAGGGATGACGCTGGTGTCGTACTTTCAAGGATGAGCAGGAGACAGTCGTGAGCCGTGGGGTGTGGGAGACAAGCCCAGAGCTGAGAGGCCAGGCGTGGTCTCTGGTCTCTGGGGAGAGATGCAGGTTGGGAAGAAAGCCTAGAGTTTCACCTTTAGTCTTCCTTGCTGGCTACCCTCACAGTGCAGCCCCAGGGCCTGCTGTTGAGCTTGCAGTGGCCCTCCAGACGGTGGGAGGCATGACCTAGAATATAGTCGAATGTGGTGTTTCTCAAGGAGTCTGATGACCCACATAGATTTCCCAGGTACCACCAAGAATCACACAAAAATCTCTGCCGAGGTGGGCTGGCAAGTCTGCAGTAACAGGCACCCTCTCCTTGTACCCATCCAACTGCTAAGTGGAGGCTTCCTTGTATACTTGTAGCATTCCCCAGAAACCCAGAAGCAGCTCAAATGTCCATCAGCTGTTAAATGGGTAAACAGATTATGGGATGGCTGTACTCTAAGATATTACTGTATTTGTCTTTCACAATAGCCTCTTTGCCCCAGCTACACCCCTCTCCAGAGCACTCGAGGTAGACAGAACAGTGCTCACTCTCCAATCCTCTGATGGGAAACACAGGCCCAGGGAGTCATTAGCAGCCCTCAGGCACCCAACCAGGGGCCCACGTCACCCTCCTGCCTTGTGCTTTCCTCCTCCTCACTCGTTCTGGCCCCTCTGCTGGCCTCCTGGAAGCCCCAGAAACAGGCAGTTGGACAAGTGCTAATTATGAGATTGTACATATCATTGGTTGGTTTAAATCCTGCAGATAAACACAGTTGGGGGAGTCTGGAGGAGGCTTTGGCAGGGTTGTGTGTGAGGAGAAGGTGGAGAAGGCCCCTTCTGCTTTCTCGACCTCCTTGGGGGTTTCTGGCTTCAGGATCCAACCCCCTTCCCCCCCCCCCCAGCTGCTGTCGAGGCAGGAGAGGCCGCCGCTGCACCCTTCCAGGAGGAAGCCTCAGGGAGGCAGCCACAAGGTCTGCACAGAGCTTTGGTGTGGACAGTGGACATTGTGGCAGTCAGGGGTTTACTCAACCCCGGGGCCAGAAGTCACCCCACAGTGGCTTTGGGAGAAGTACCTCTCGTGTCCCCTTCCTCAGGCCAGGAGTCGTGTTTAAGCATCGCACACAGATCCTCTGATGCATGAAGATCACGGTCCTGGATTGAACCAGGGCTCTGTGACCTCAGGTCCTGGAAGTCACTGGAACTTGCTTCTTGACAAATCCAAGACCCACTTCAGCTTTCCCAGAACCAGGACACACATTGGCCTGTTGTATTCCTCCCTGCCTCCCTCCCTCCCTGTCTCCCTCCCTCTCTACTTCCCTCCCTCCCTCCCTCCTTTCCTTCCTTTCTCTGTCTTCCTTTCATTTTATTTTTTTAAGATTTATTTATTATATATACAGTGTTCTGCCTGTAGGCCATAAGAGGGCACCAGATCTCATTACAGATGGTTATGAGCCACCATGACGTTGCTGGGAATTGAACTCAGGACCCTTGGAAGAGCAGCCAGTGCCCTCAACCTCTGAGCCATCTCTCCAGCCCCTCGTTTTAACTTTTAACGGGACACGGTTTCATCATGTAGCCCAGGCTGGTCTCACACTTGCTATATAGCCAAGGGTGACCGTGAATTTCTGACCCTCCAGTCTCTACCTCCCAAATGTCAGGGGTACAGGTGTGCCAACATGTCAGGTTTCTGTGGTGATGGAGATTGAATCTATGGCTTTGCACACTGTAGGCAAACATCCTAACAATTAAGATTATAGCTCTGGATTCATGCTGGCCTCTTGATGCTCAGGGAGGCTTGGCCTGTTGACACGCCCTCTTCTACTAAACCTCATTGCCACAGGCTAACAAGCTCCAGATGTCCCCAAAAGGATATGCTCAGTCCCAAGGCAGGCTCCAGACCCCTCATAGTGGCTGAAGTCAGTGAGTAACTGAGCACCCTCCACCTCTCCCTTCTTAGGACCCCACTAACACGTGGGCTATGGAAATACCTACTAACTGCCAATGATCAATGGACTGACTGAGCTCCTGGGAGGGACTATACTATAGCCTTGGATCACCTCGCCTTGAGATGAAATCTACAGAGGAACCCACTCAGCTCTGAGGAGAGACGGAAAACAAGAAGCAGGGACCTATCACCCAAGCCCCTAGGGAGTTGCCTTGGTGAGCTCCTCAGAGGGGCCAGCGCATGGAGACCATGGCAGTCTCAGCCCCAGGGAGCTGTGGAAGGCAGGTAACCACCCTAACTGACCTCTTCTTTGTGGGGGGGCAGTGTGCTGACCACATGAGCCCAGCCACATCACCATTGCCATACTGTCCTGGGTTAGCTCACCAGCTCACCCCACTGCCCAGCCATTGTGCCCTGCGACTTGAGAGAGAGAGAGAGAGAGAGAGAGAGAGAGAGAGAGAGAGAGAGAGAGAGAGAGAGCACCACTGGCCTGATAGAGCTATAGCCTGAGGCTTCCTCTGGGCCAGATGAACAGCAGGGTCTGAGAAAGGGGCGGGGCCAGAGGGCTGACTAGAACTGGAGGCAATGACGTCTCTCCTCCATGTTGGTTTTAGATTCTCATGCCTTAAACACCTAGTTGCCAGGGTCTATGTGCCAGGAGACAGCTTACACCAGAGGCTGTCAACTAGACCTTTGTTGTATTCACTGCCAGGCAGCAGGGAGAGGGACTAGGCCAGGCCTTCCTGTACAGTCCCAGTTTGGAAGCCACCGGGGAGCTGGGCAGAGTGTTCAGGGGGCGGTGTGGACAGCCCTGTGCCCATATGCTTAGGCAGCGCTCTCAAAGCCTCTGCTGACAAAGGAGTAGCCTGTCGGGCTGGCCCAGCTCTGGCCTGGTGGGAGGTGCAGCTCACTGGGGTAGGCTAGAGCCAGGCTGGGTGGCCCTCCCTCTGCCCTCCTAGACAGAAGGAGCCAGTGTCTGATAGGCGTGGGTACTTAACAGGGACTGTTCCCATCACTCACTTCATATTGATCAACCCCCAAGGTGGCCTGGAGCCAGGAGCAACAGAGAGAGACACCATTGTCCCAACCGGTGAACCTGATATCCTTGGAGGCAGATGGACAAATAGGGAGTGGCCTTGTCTAGAAGGAGGTTTCTCCTCCCAAGTGCCTTGCCTGTTCTAGCTGGCCACTCTCAAGAGCCAGCACAGCAGCTCTGGGGGACCCCTCCTTCTCTGCTGACTAGAACTGACATCTAAGGAGCTCTTCACGTGCAACAGGCACTGAGCAGGCACCAGTAAAGACCCTTCCAAAGAAGCCCTTTTTTTTTTTTTTTTTTTTTTGGTGGGTGCTACAAAGATGGCTCAGCCAGTGAGGCTGCTTGCTGCCAAGTCTGGTGATCTGAGTTTGATTCCAGGGAGCCACATGTGGCGGAAGATTACCAGTTCCCCCAAAGTGTCTTCTGACCTCCAAACACACGCCATGATGTGGGTATATCCGACCACTAGTCTCACTCTAGGATAAAGATAAAAGTATATATATATAGTCTTGTTGTAGAGCGCATGCACAGAACCTGGGAATGGGGGTGCACACCTGTAATTTTCCCACTGGGGAGGAAGAGTAGGGAAGATCAGATCATCTCTGGTTTCATAGTTCAAGGCCAGCCTGGGTTTTATGAGACCTTCATAAACAAACAACATCAAAACCACAACCCATCTGCATACATTCTCTCTGCTCCTGCTCATCATAGGGAGTTCTTCCAGGCACTTCCATTTTCCCCAAGGGCTTTGGGAAAGGGGGCAAAGGGGAAAATCATTTGGGGTCTCCTGAGCCCAGCCCAAAGGACCGACTGGCTTGGGGCAGCGTCTGTCCACAGCCTTGCTCAGCTCTGCAGCTTCCTCTCCATGCTCCCTGACCCTGGAGCCCATTCCACAGCACAGCCAAGAGCCCAGCACTCAGAGTAGCCAGCCAGTGGCCAGCCACACAGCTTTGAGGCACAGACAATAGTCACCAGGAGGCTGCCACACCAAACCCATTCCAATCCCATCATTGTGCCCAGGACCACTCTAGTATCTGAGTCTTGGAGTACCACCCAAACAAGCACAAAACAGGCGTGCTGGCCATGTTGACTAAGAGTTTGGTTTGGGCCCTACTTATGTCACCTCACCTCATGCCTCTATGTCAACCCTCTCCTTGGAGCATGCTAGCCTTTTCTCAGTGACACGGTTCCACTGTGACCCCACCTCAAGAGTCTTGCACACTGTAAGTCCCTCTGGTTGCAATCCCCCCCTTGAGTACACCCCTAAAGAACTCTTTATCATCATCACCATCACTGTTGTCATAATCATTATCATCATCGTTTTCCAGACAGGGTCTCACTGTGTAGCCCTGGCTGTCCTAAAACTCACCCTATAGACCAGGCTGGCCTCAAACTCAGAGATCCACCTGCCTCTGCCTCTGCCTCCCCAGTCTGGGACTGAAGGTATGTGCCACCCCCACCCAGCAAGGTCACTTCTTTATGACCCACTCTAGTTCCAGTTAAGACAGGGTTTTGATTTGAAGCGCAGGGTAGCATGGGATTCCTGATCCTCCTGCCTCAGCATCATGAGTAAGGGGATTACAGACATTGCCACCATATCTGGGCTCACCACCACCTCTCCTTTTCCTTTTTTCTTGTGTGTTTGTATGTATGTCTGTATGCATGTGGGTACGAGTGCATGTGTGGAGGCAGAAAGTTGATGTTAAAAATTACCGTATTTTTCCTGAACTACCCTTCGACCTTTTTGATCACTCTTCTACATCAAGCGCTGAGGCGGGGTCAAATCGGAAGCCCATAGATAATGGCTAATGCTGTCAGCTAGCTCACTCTTCGAGTTCCCCGTCTCTGCCTTCCAAGACTGCTACCACACCCACGAACATTTCTGTGGCATTTTATGTGGGCTCTGGGGATCCAAGCTCTCCATGCCCATGAGGCAAGCTTTTTAACCACTGAACTATCTCCCCAGCTTAGGTCCCGTGCCCCTTATGTCTCTCCTGGCAACAGGCTCTTTTTTTTTTTTTCTAGCCCTCCTAGGCTGCAAACCCTCATTTGTTTTAATTCTTGTCTTCTCTCCCCACAATAAACTTCAGCAACAGAGGGAGGACAGGACTTTTCATGTTGGAGTGCTTTTCTTGTTCCTACCACGGTTCCCAGCATGCTGCAGGTCCTTTATGGGTAATTATTGCCTCATATGCCATCCTTCATCGTAGTGACATGAGGGCCAGGAGAACAGACATGACAGACTTGCATGTTCTAGAGGTGCTGAGTATGTGCTTTGTGGATAGCAGGCGTATCAGATGGGGGATGTTTACACCATGGGCACCAAGATGTATTTTATGGTCTGGGCCCACCCCGGCTCTGAACGCTCTTAGCTTTCCTCGGGCTGATCTAGGAAGCCTTCCTGGAAGAAGAACGCTAGGTGATGCTGTGGGTAGCCCACCCACAGGTACAGTGAGACACAGAGCTCTTGCCGTCCAGCCCGGTATGCTAAGCAAGCTGAGCAGGGCTCCACCCTGCAGCTCCTGACCGAAGCCCCAAGTACCTGCTCGTCCACCTTGTGAGCGATGAGGGTGGCTCCCTCCTCCAGCTCAGCCACACTGATGGGCCGGACCCTAAGTGCCACCTGGGAGGAAGATGAGAGCCCTAGGTTAGGAGGGACACACTTAGCCATGGATGAAGGAATGAGGAGTCTTTGAATTCCTTCCCCAACAGCCCCTTGCTTTCCAGCATCCAGCCATTTCTGGCTCCTTGGTTCTGAAGAAAGCTGTCAGTGGAGGGCATCGCCCAAGGCAAAGGGCAGCAGGTCCATGGGGTGTCTGGCTGAGTCCGAGTCTATTTCTCTTTTCAAAACTCTGTACCTCAGTGGAACCCCAGGGGAAACACTGTCTACACAGGCTGCATCAGTCACATGCCTAAATTAAACACTTGCCACTCCCTTGGGCTTAAGTCTGGAGCATTGGGGACCAGGGCTACCTGTCTGCAAGTAAGGTGCTGCTGGGAAGGGTGGTAAGGGTATGACAGGAATGGCTTGGAAATTATGATGGAATCTAGAGATCTTCCCCTTGTCATCCTAACAACCTGCGACAGCATCCTAACACCCCCAGGAGAGTGCCATCAAGGGCTTCTTTGCTCTTTATTTACTGGCCAGTGAGAGATGGCGGGTCTTCACCCTATACACATGTCTCCCAAAAGAACAGAGTTAGGGAGTAGGGAGATTTTCTTCTGCTGAACAAGTAGGGAGATTTTCCTTCTGCTGGATACTGGGCGGATCCAAAGGGTACTCAGTTCATTTCATGCACACAGCCTGTCAGATTGTCCTCATTAGTCTCCTGGCTGGACCTCCTCGAGGGAGGGGGGGACCCTTGCCTAATGAAAATGAACATTCTGGAGCAAACCCTTTCAAAGAAGCTTTTTTTTTTTTTTTTTTTTCCTGCTGCCAGAGAAGGTGCCACAGAGTCTGGGACCCTTGGGGCTGTGTCCAAGCTTCCTTTTTCAGAAGCAGGTTCCGTACATGGGGTGGGGGGCATTATGGTAACATTGCCCTGCCGTCTGGCTACCATCATCTGCTGCTGCTGGACCATTTCCACAGATCAAAGGCTAGGGGCTGGGAGAGAGAGATCTCCACCTATCCCCAAGGACCAAGGCTTCTCCGTGTGTCTTCAGCATCCACGGATAGCCAGGAATCTCTTATCTTTGGCCTCTACCTACCCCTACCCTCCCTGCCATACTGTCTTCCATCACAGGCTGGGAGACCCTGGGGTCTATCCAAGTGGCTTCCAGCATCTCCCTCAAGTATCTGGAGTCCTGATTTGGACAGAGCCTGGGTTACAGCCTGTAACTAGCCACTCCAGACTTGGCGCTGGCTCACCACGTTTAGGTGGCTTTTGCCTTCCTAATTGTGGCTCCAGCTTCCTTTAAGGAAGACCAGGCTGGGTTTAAACTCTCTGGTTCACTAGAGATTCCCAGCTTTCTTCTCAGGCAATCACTCAGGTCTCTTTTGGGTCTGCTCGGAAGGAGGGAAGGGGGCGCTAACGTCTCAGCCCCTGGGGGCTCACCCATAGCTTCTAGCCACCTGTTCTGTAGAACTTGAGCAAAGTTGTTCTGCACATTCCTAGACCACCATCTCTGGCCCGTCCTCTTTAGTGGACATTATGTGCGAAGTTGTCAGGTCCCAGGATTGGTGGAGGGGACCAAGGAGGAGCTTGATAAGGAGTCTCACCATGAGTTGCTGGTCCTTGGAGTCACCACTGTCCTTCATGATTGCGGCAGGTAGAGAGCCTCAGGCCGCGACAGCTGGCATAGCCGAAAGGCACCTCCACCGTGGTCACCTCCCCGGGTCGCTCTTCCGCCTCCGCTGCCTGACAACCCGAAACCAACAACGCGCCTGCCGCCCGGGCGCTGACCAGGAGGAGGGAGGGGCCGGGAGAATTCGGCCGGTCCCGCCCCGCCCCCAGTGCTCCCCCGCCCCCCTGTGCTCGCTCCGCCCCCTGCTCTCCGCCCCCTGAACCTGGGTGAGCACGACGTCTCCACCCAGAACAAAGCCCCTTGGATTCGCGCTGCTGCTACAGCTTCTGCTGCTGGAGCTGAAGCGCCCTGTCAGACTGAGGAGTCCCCCGGCCTCAGTGCCACGGCCTCCTCCCCGTCCAGTGGCGTCCGTTTGGTGGCTTCTCACACACACCCGCGCCCAGGCTCGCGGCTCCTGGCTGTGTCCTCTATGCTCCCGGCATCCGCCTGGCACGCGACTCCCTGTGGCCACGATCATCTGCTGCCCTCCTGACTGTTGCTGGGCGTCTCCAGGGCGTCCTGGCAGCCTCGGGTTTCCATGATCGATGTGGGCATCGCGGCTGTGGAGGCCAGTGCCTAGGGTGTGGGTGGCTGCACCCATTGTCCAGAGGCAGAAAGGATGATAACGTGGATAAAGAGCTGTGCTTGTCTCCTGGGACTCCGGGCTTAGTGGGGTGTATCCTATGGAAAAGTCCCCTTGGTGTTGACCCACTAAGTGCAAACCACGCCTGAGGTACAAACCCAGAACCTAGGTCAAAATGGATGGACCCAGACTGCCTGCCAGGCTCGCACCACCCAGGAGAGTCCACCTGTGGCCCTAGGAGTTGGCTTAGGATGTGGCTCAACACTAAGTCATAGGCTTATTTAAAACATCCTGAGGGCCTTGTAGATGGCACATCTTGTAAAGGAGCTCGTGGTCAAACCTCACTACCTAAGTTCAATTCCTGAGACCCACGTGGTGAAAAGGCCAAAATTGACTCCCAAAAGTGGTCCTCTGATCTCCACACGGGCATCCCAGTACATTTGCGTAATATATAAAAGTAATTTTTAAAAAGTATAAAAGGGGGTGGAGTTAAGAGCTCAGGAGTTGAGAGCACATGCTTTTTGGCAAAGAACCTGAGTTCAGTTCCCAGCATTGACACCAGGCAGCTCACAACTGCCAGTAACTCTTAACACCATTGAACCTCTGACCTTAGCAGACACACACACACACACACACACTATTTTAAAAAGTCTCAAAAAGACTTTTAAAATTCTCTCTCTATATATCTATCTATCTATCTATCTATCTCTATCTCTCTCTCCCTCTTTATTTTGAGACGGGGTTTCTCTATGGCTCTGGCTGTCCTGGAGGACCAGACTGGCCTTGAACTCAGAGATCCCCCTGACTCTGGGATTAAAGGCTTGTGCCACTACCCACCTGTCTTGTTTTTTTGTTTTTTTTTTCCCTGGGTTGGGGACATTTCTAGAAATTAAAACAAACAAACAAAAAAACCTACATTGCATCATGTCTCCCGTGAACTTTATAGATGACAACAGCACTTTGCAATGTCAAAAGGCTGGCCAGGTGGCCAGGTGGAACAATGGATAAATAGTTGCGATTGTTGGTAACAGTAGCAACAATGACACACTCAGGGAGCCCAATGGAAACGTTCCTTCCCTCAGGAGGCCTGGGCTAAACAGGATTTTACTCCTAGTTCTTCCTCCAACCAGCTTAGCCTCTGGGAGCCTGGTTTCCCTGTCCCCACTGTCTGTCCCCTATACAGTGCTGGAACTCTTCCTGAATACAGTAATGCGTCACCTGTCTCCCCTGAAGCCGAGCCCAGAGCCCCTGCAAAGACCAGAGAGGGAGGCTCCATGGGTTCAAATTCAGGAAAGAAGCTGGAGAAGTTAGCCCTCTCATTCCTTGGGGTTGTCACCGCCACCTGGCATGCAGCCAGAGTCAGAGCACGATGTCACCCTGTGCCTTGGGACTGGTTTCCTGGGCTTCCCCCAGGAGCTTGTGTTGGGGATAGTTATTAATAAACAGCAGCAGGAAGCAGCTGGCAGCCCCAGGTTTGATAACTATATGAACCAAGCTAAGTAAGCTTGGATAGCAAAGTCTCTTGCAGGGGGTGCCCAGCATTGCCGGACTCCCTGGCCCCCAGCAGCCTCTGAGGCTGTACCGAAAAGAAAACCAGCTCTGAGGTCAGAGAGTCTCCTACCTGTTCCTTTTGTTCTGAGATGGAGATTGAGACTGTTAGCTTGTGGCCTCAAGTTCACAATCATCCTGCCTCAGCCTCCCAGCTGATAAAATTACAGACATGTGCCACCACTTCCCACTCTGCATTTTAGAGCCTGAATTGACTCTTTGGATTACTCAAGAAGGTCTCTGGTCTACTGAACTTTGGCTTGTTTTCTTTTTCTTTGTTAGTCCTCCACACATATAAATCCCACCCAAGATGGCCCATCATGACTGATGAGTAAAAAATGAGCAGATTTGGAGTCAGGTATAGCTGTGCATACATGTAATCCCAGCACCCAGGAAGTCGGAGCAGGAGGATAGTAGTGAATTTGAGGCCAGCCTAGCTTACATAGAGAGACCCCGTCTCAAAACAAATCACTTCAAAGCTAGAGGCCCGAGACCATTTGACATGGAGACTCAACTTAGAGTTATGCCTACTTTCAAACATTCTCCTTGGTGACTTTGAGGTTGTATTAGTTGTTCTTCAGTTATTATGACAAAATTCCCGATAAGAGAAACTGAAGGAAGTTGGAAATACAGTTCAACTTGGCAGGGCCAGGTGGTGGTGGTGCTCGCCTTTAATCCCACCCAGAACGCAGGAGGCAAAGGCAGGGGGATCTCTGAGTTTGAGTCCAGTCTGATCTATAGAGTGATCTATAGATCACTGGCTGGCTAGGGCAACACAGAGAAACCCTGTCTTGAAAAATCAAGAAAGAAAGGAAGGAAGGAAGGAAGGAAGGAAGGAAGGGGGACAGGAGCATGAGGTAGAAATTATATCAACAGTAAGGAAGAAGAGGAGGAGTGGAGGGAGGAAGAGGACAGGGGAGGAGTGGAGAGAGAAGGGTAGGGGAGGAAGAAGAAAAGAAAGAAGAAGAAGAATTAGGAGAAGGAGAAAGAACTGGTACTTAGTTCACTTTCTCCTCGGCATCCTGCTCTGGGACCCCAGCACCCAGTGGTCTCATGGAAGAAATGGTAGCCACAGGGCTATGGTCACTATCACAGGCATAGATAGGATGGGTACACATAACAGTGTGCACACAGGAGCCTGGTCACCTTTCATGCAGCTTACTATGACTTGACTCTCCATGTCCTATCTAGCTCGGCATTGACATTTGCAGATCCTCTTTTGGCCTTTGTGGGCACCAGGCATGCCCGTGGTACATGTATACCTAGGCAACACTCATGCTGTAAGATAAAACTAATGAATCTTTTTGGAAAAGATGATAGTGGTGGGGTACAGCCCATTAAGGAAGACAACGGATGGCAACACGGATGGCTTGTGGGTGCATCCGCGGGTATGTGAGGCTGCTTGCTTACAAATGGATGGACCCGAGGCAGAAAAGAGAAATGGATGCAGGCTCTGCATGACTTTCTCATTCTCATGTTTCCCTTTGATTTCACTCTGAGACCTGAGTACCATCCACATTCAAGGTCGATCTTCACTCAGTTAAGCCTCTTTGAAAACACCCTCATAGATACACCCAGAGGTGTGGCTCTTAGGTGATTCTAAATTCAGTCAAGTTGACAGTGAAGACTGTTAAGCAGATGGAAAGGTATCCTTGCAGTAGGGAACCAAGCAGTACCACAGAGTCACTGTAAGCATGGTAGTTTACAGCCCTGCTCCCGGGAAAGGATTCCCCAATGTAACAATTCTGCCCGGGGCAGGGGAGGGTCTCCCCAGCCAAGTTGTTACAGTTTTGCTCAGTGAAATGTTACATTTCTGTCTAGTGAAATGTTAAGCTCTGCTTAAGGGAAAGTTTCAAGCGAAAGTGTTACAACCCTTAGGTCCCCCCAGATGTAACAGCTCTGCTGAACTAGGGTAAGGTTTCTCCCAGCGGAAGTGTTATAGTTCTGCTCTGCTCAGGGTTGAGAGTTGTTACTTCTCCTCTCTGTTCCGCTCCACTCCTGCAAAAGAAATCACCCAAACCTCATTTAAGAGAGTTATTGTGAGGGAAGAATCCAGGAGCGTGGCAGTGGCAAACTGAGCAGGGTACAGAGCTTATATAGGGTTCCGTGGGGCAGGGGCGGGGCGACAGAGATTTCCAGGGTGGTTTGGGATTGGTGAGCTTTTCTGCTCAAGGATTGGTGGGATTTAGTGCTCAGGGGACTCAGCGATTGGTGGGATTTCAATCCATGTTCCCAGATCAGGGTCAGGGTGTTTTTCCTTGGCCCCTTTCACCCTTCAAAGACCCGCCACCACAGAGGGAAATGGACAAGAGCTGTCAGGCACATGAGACAAAGAAGTCATTGCAGTAAGGCTGGCATCAGGGACACCGTGTGTACAGAGCTCTCCCAGCCCCTTTGTCCAGCCCTGTCTGCAGGCTTTTTTCTTCCCACAGTCCATTCTGGAATGCCATCCTATCACAGTGGCGCCCTCTGTACCCACAGGAAAGGATTTTCAGGTCCTAGCAGGTGGCTGTCTTTGCAAGCACAAAACAAAGGCCAACATTCCAGAATAGCAAAAGAACGCTCTTCCACCTTGAACACATAGTGTCAGCCCCTCACGGGGGCCCATCAGTGCCCAAGTCAACAGTGCATTTCACCCCCCCCCCCAGAGCACTGCGTTTGGTTGATCTGGCTCTCCAAATCAGGTTTCTGCACCCTGCCTTCATCTCATTTAGTTTGCTTGTGAGCGAGTCTCTTGTAGCCCAGGGTGGCCCTTGAACTTGATATGTAGCTAAGGATGACTGTGAATGCCTGATTCTTCTGCCTCTTCTTTCTGTGTTTGGGGATTGCTAGAGTGCCTCCCACACCCTAGTTTCTGCAGTGCTGGGGACTGAATCCAGAACTGAGCCGGACATTACCCGAGTCATAACATTTTGGACAAAACTATTCTTTGTGGTAGGGGTCTAGAATACTGGGAACCCTAGAATTCTGAGCAGTGTAGTGCCCATGCCATT